TTTTAATAGTATAATCATTCATGAGGGTATTCCATCAATACCTGGAAATGAGAAAGAAGACTTAATAGCCTACGAGGCTACCACATCTTAATCTTAATCGTAATCATAAAAATAAACTAATCTAACAGTAACTCCATCTTAGAACTGAGACACACTTAATCAATGCGAAGTAATGGAAGAAATATTTATTCAATTTATGGGTCACACTTACCAACGTCCAACACAAGCCTATCTTATCATTAAAGAATACTGTTGCTGGACCAGTATGACATTTATATTATGCTATACAACAACAATTAAACAGAACACTATAGTGATAAACTGCCCCAGATACGTCGGAGCCCAAAAAATTCTAAGCAATCCATCTTCACTGCATCGAGGCCTAGGCCTCAATGGACTAACAGTCTGTAAGATAAATCTTACTAGAAAATTGAGAAATTACAAGCCATTTTTGTTATATATTTTATATGGATATAAATTGTATTTAGCCTAATTAGTATGTTATTTATTATTTAATAATGTAGTCTAAAACCATTGTTGTTGAAGCCTTACAAAATTAATAACAATTTGTAAATTGTAGGTAATTGATATTTATATTTGTAATATAATAGTATAAATTTATAAATAGGGCCTGGTGTGACTAGGTGAATGGCCCATAGTCACTAACGTGTCCTGAGATCGCTAGTTCCCGGATGTGTGACTATCAGTGTTTTTACTACTTTTTAGTGACGAATCCTCGCCCCACATACACGTGTTCCTCAACCTACAATAGTAACCCCCCCTCCCACAGTATACTAATGAGTAATGACCATATAGTTGCCAATTCTAAAGACCAATCAAAAAAAAAGTCCTATACATTTATGTACCTATATTTAATATAATATATTTTAACACAATTTTTGAAAAATCACAAAATAAAGCTAAAAACCAAATTAACATGTTATGTGTATTTTTGTATATAAAATGAATGTGTCACCTTGTTGGTATAGTTATGCAATTATTGTATAATAATAACCAGCTTTAAAATTAAGTAACTTTTATTGATAGAGGTTAAGGAGGAGATTTTATATAAATAGGTATAATAAGTATATGTAATACTATAATTTGAATAAAATTGTTTTTTTTTTGATTAATCTAGTGATAGTGGAATAGTGCCTACTTACCTAAGAGGTAAGACGTGAACAAAAACTAAATATATACCTACCTATGTAATTCATTTTTGAATAATGCAGATCATCAATTTTACACCTACCTGTATAAGAATCACATACTGCAAGTATTATAATATCAACTCCAAAATCTCGACAAACGGCATTTGTATACAATGGCCATTTAAAGTTGCGCAATTTGTATACATAATCGTTCGTGGATTTATTTATAAGGAAATACTTTCTACAACATTTCAGTGGAACAACACAAATAGGTATAGGTACTGGAAATAAAAAATTAACTATAGGTATCTTATAAATGTATATTGTGTATTATCACATTTACACACGTATAATAAAATGCATGAATAATTTAGGTATGACTACTTATGAGATAAAAATTAATTAATGTCATATAATGTTAACATTATATTTTCATGTAAAAATACATTTACCTAAATACTAAATAGGTTTATAATTAAAAACCATTTACGTATACCTAACGGATAAAGGTATTAGCTTAAAAATAAGTTTACCCACCTGTAACTACAAATTGATATTTTACATTTTAAATGATTTTAAAATTATTTATTACCAAAATGTTTACCCAAGTTCTTCTGTAGTTTACATATAATTATAATTTATTATACTTGAGTGATTACAATAATTTAATACATTCTATTTATAAATATTAAATAGGTATACGAGTATATAGGTACATATATAGACAAAATATATGACTTATTATGTTAGGTTAGGTTATTATTATTATAGGTAGGTAATTATGAAGTAATATATATTTAAACAGTATTAGTAACTTTATCGTATAAATATTACCAACAGCTTATCAGTTTTAGCATTTACATTTTAGATTCTGCACACAGCGTTGAATTGATTATTATTTTTTTTTTTTGTTTTTGTCATCACTCATCATCTTTTGGAGTAGTTTGATTTTGAACTTGGTGGGTGGTTTTAGGTAGAAAGTTGGTAGAGTAGTGAGAAAGAAATAATGATAGACTATGCACTATCATTGTTTGTGTAGTACTGCAGTAAGTAGAGAGAGAAAGGGAATCATTAAGGCAGTAAGACTTGAAAGAAAAGCACAGAATAACACAGAACAGTTATTCTGTGAGAAAAGTAGATAGTGATGATAGTGGAGTACTGATGTATAATTAAGTAATGCAATTTTATTGAAATCAGCAGTAATGCAGAGAGGTATAAGATAATATGGTCTGGACAGGGGAGGAGTTGGGAAGGATGCAGTGGGACTTTTATTCGGAATTTTATGGTTTGACCGATTGGTCAGTATTACGGCGCTTGAGGATGGCTTTGTACGTTGGGCATCCTTAAATACATTTCAAACATTTTAAATTTTAGTAGCTAAGACTCGACTATTTATTATTTAATACAATGTTCTTATTAATACTATATATTATATATTATACTATATATTTATAAGTGTGACTTTTGCCCGCCATATTGTATTTTATTATTTAGTATAAGAAATGGATTTTCCAAAATATTTTGATTGATTTCAAGCATATATTGTCTAAAATTGTTGTATCTACTAATAGAAAAATAAATTACCAATAAGCTCAATAGCATTATAAATTTATAAAAATGAAAACTTGCAGCGTACAATTATTAAAATATATACAGGTAGTTTTTTATCATAAATTACGAATCGCTCATTATTTCAAAAACTAATATTAACGTTTTTGAAAATATATTTTTTACATAATTTTAAGTAAATAAAACATAACATTTTCTAAAAAACTAATTTTTTACTTATTTCTATTTTCTATAGGTAGTTACAATTTTTTAAGTTGTTATTTAATTTTGAATTAAAGAAAAATTAGAATTCAGTGGAATCAATAGATATATATAATATATTTTTGATAGGTTTGCCGTTAGGTTAGGTTTCACAGGAACAGTGAAAGGGTTTTTAAATTTCAAATTTCAAATTTTAACATATATTTCATATATATAATTTATATCTAGTATGAAAATAAATATAATTGTTAAACATATATTTTATAAAGACCTTTGGGTTGTTTAAATAATAAAGCCCCAGGGCATTTAAAAAAAAAAAAAAATTTAACGGCGAACCTTTAATTTTTTCACAGCACACTCTTTGGGTAACATTTCAGCATATTATATTATGTTAGACTATGTGTACATTATTATCTTTTGTAATTGATAGCTACTAATAATACTAATTGCTATTATATTACACTATGAAATATGAATGTGTACCTAATGATAATAGGTATAGACTAAATACTAAAATGGTAAAGTTTCTGCCTAATAATTATGGAACATTATTCATGTGCTCGATTGTAACACAAAGCTTCGGAGTACATAGTATGCAGTGCATAATTTATGTATATATAGAATGTAAATAATATATGATACAACAATAAAGGTAATTGATGAGTTATATTATCTAAAAGTTCCTCATAAGTAGTTGTAGTTCATTTTGTAACCAATGTCTAATGTACGTGCTACTCTATTATATTTTTACTATACGAGGAATATGTATCAATCATAAATATGTATTTGTTAATAAGTAACCATGACAACGAAAACCTTACAAAAAATCGGTTGGAAACAAAAACACGTGTATCCAGTTCGAAAACATATTTATGTTCAAAATTCAAAGACATGTAAGATTATATTATAAATCGATTACCTATAGGTATTTAGTATGTATATTGTCATCAGTCACTTACATATTTTATTATTTATTATTTTTGCAATATGTTTTCTGCGATTCTATTATTAGGTACCTAAATATTTCTGCGTACTTAATCGTTCAACTAGTATAAAATTATATACGGACTCGACATAATTAGGGGTTTTTGTGCAGACGTCTAACTTTTGATACAATAGTAATGATAAATTGTGTTATCTTTTTTTCCACTCTTTTTAACATAAATATTTTTTTGGGCTGGGTACAGGTATTTTTATTTTCTAACCGATTTTATGTAACGCTTTCTTCATCACCTAGGGGTGGATCTGAAGCTTGTCTAAGGAGGGAGCTATAGGAATATTCATAAGAGATATATAAAGTAAAATGAAGACTTTACCGTAATTATATCGTTAAAAAAAACCCAACATCACCACGCCCCCCCCCCCATAAATCTGCCCTTGTATAGAAACGAATAAAATGTAAAAATTAACTAATTCCCACTAGGTTTATATATAATTAATGGTTACTTATTAATATACATTTAATGTTCATACATTTTCTTAGAAGTGGAAAATGTTGAGTAGCGTGGTACGTTTGTCATTTAATTTTTTGCTACAGGTATACTGGAATGTGGAAATACATTATAATACATTATAATTCATTCACAATAATTTTTATTAAATCTGTACCATACTGTTTAAGTATGGTACATACTTATAATTAATATGTAATATTAGGTGTGTAAAATTTTAAATGTGTTAATATATTGTTTATTATGCAATTATATTGTGCACGTCACATATAATATTATGGTAGTTTGTTTTGTATACCTACCAAAACAAATATAAATTATATGACGTTGTAAACTTTTGTACCTGCAGTATAATACAAGATGACAGTATTTATGGTACGAATACAATTATTAAAACGTAAATCAATGACGACGACCTATATACGTGCCAAACCAAACGCGACCAATTGTTATAATAATATATTGTATTATACTCTGCCTATAGTCTACATATTATTAAATAATATTCGTGTTGACAAGAACCGTTGCCTTCACAGCAGTGAACGTGCGATGGAATCGGTGCCTTTGCATCCACACTCGTCTACTATTATGTCGGACAAATGTCTGTAGTTGACAAAACCAGTACTGTTCAAGTACGATATGGACAGCCCAGACGTCTTGCGTGGCACGCAGCACTGACGTTCGGCGGTGGGTCGTGCTTCTCGCCGGCTGGTGGGTCGCGGGGAATCCACCCGCATTGTTGAACTGCACTCGCCCGAGCAGTAGTAAGACACGAAAGTTTTGGGCCAATGATAAAATGGTCCCAACCGAGTCCATGGACGTCCATCGTCACCGGATGCCTGCGACACCGTCCATCGGACCCTGCAGCTCCCCGCCTGTTCCGGTACCCGTGGTGGGTGTGCACCTCCAAGTACGGGATCTGCATAACGCGTGACCGCGGTAGATCGATCGAATTATTAGACTATTATTATATATATAGAGATAGAGGCAAGCGGGGGTATAGTGTTGCAGTCTGCAAGAAGGTAGAAGCGGAAGTATTGTTTCCCTAATCATGCAAAAGTGGTGATATCTATAGTAGAAGGAGAGGTGGTGGTGGCGATGGCATAAAATTGTGTCTTAATGTCTTATCAATAATAATAACATCTTCCATATTCGTTTATTAGCTTCTTAACAAACCTATACGTCCGATGTTACCACAATACAATATGTAACTCACCTATAACACAACCTTTTCACTATATAATTTACGAATTGTCTAAAGTACAAATCGTAACTTAAGGGTTTGGTTAGGTAAAGTTGTGATAGGAACAATTTTAGAGGGGGGAGGGGCGTTAAGTTGGTCCTCGAAATGAAAATTGTGTATTACTGTATTCGTGGAAACTATTTGCTTACAAATGTTTTGATGTTAGTTACAATTATTTACTAAAAGACATTACATTATTTTTAACTTGTAAATTGTAACCAGTTAACTAATCAACTAATCTGACTATCTCTGTATAACATAGTATATACACACAAAATATAAGGAGTTATTTAGAAACTTCTCGAGAAGCCTACAAAAATCATGTTATGTTACACTATTATTTTCGCAATTCATATATTTCAAATGTATATAAAAATCGACATTATACGACCGATGTCAATAAGGGGGTTTAAGTATATTATTGTCATGTCGTAGTATGTTATGTAAAGTGTATGGAATTATGCTCGGTAAACAGTTTTTCAATACACTATTATTCAGGGGTGGCCAAACTTTTTTTGATTAAGATTTACTAAGGATACATTTTAGAATACTTTTAGGATCGACTAATGTAAAAAAATAATTCTATATTAATAATAAACGTACTTGCATGAATAATAAAATAAAGTCTAAATTTATCTAAAATTAGTGTTTCACATTAAATTTATAAATAGTTTTAAAATGAATTTAAATTATACAGTTGATATAGAAGCGTGTCATTGCATAATATCAATTAAAATTTAGGTAATAGTTCTCTAACTGCTGAACGACGACTCTGCTCTAGAATCTAGATGATCATCGAAAAGTAATCTCTTCAGCTTTTATAGCTTCCATGTGATAAAATACCATGTCACACGAACAGATCAATCCCAAATAAGTATTTAATAACTGTATCTAAAAATGACAAATATATTGCAATAATTGTAAACAATAAATGTAACAAATGTATTACAAAGTTATAAGTTCTTCTTAGAAATCTTCCAAGTTCGACCGTTTGGCCACCCCTGCACTATATGATCAATAAAACACGACAACGTAACATCCAAGTTCGCTGTATTATTATTATTATTATTTATGATTTGAATTTTAAATGTAAAAAAGTGTATTTTCTTTCTCGGACAATCCTCTCTCTCTCTCTCTCTCTCTCTCTCTCTCTCTCTCTCTATATATATATATATATATATATGTATATCTGTCTAACCAATACTAATATAATATAACATAATATCACTCCTCCGTCTTCTGGATCCTGTTTGAACTGAGTAGTTCTTTTATATTCGATATACTATTTAATATCGAAGTCACAACTTATTATTCTTTCCATCTAATATTTAACTATAAGATGTGTCCTGCTCCTATACAACAATTATACATTATAACCATATTATATGTATACTTTTAATTGTTTAAACATATTATAATAATCCATAACAACGATAAAAATATAATTTATAGTGGTATAAGTTAAAGGTTTATTATAATATTATTTACTTATAAGTTACCTATTAGGTTACATTAAATAACGTACCTCGCTAATATCATCTCTTTTTCTGGCGTCGGTTATGTACCGCATCTTGTCGTGCGTCGTGTTCTTGTTAGGGTAGGACGTTTGTATCATTAGCGTCAAGTTTTTGACCTCATCGATGGTCTTGAACCAATCAGACATATTTCTCTGTAGTTCAATGGGCACCCAAACAGGTTCGGTGGTGTTCAGAACTCGCTGAAAACAGGCGAATATCGGAATATGGATACACCAAACAAAACAAAAATACACTGTATATAAACCATTATAAATATTATATTAAAATACAAATATATTATATACTAATTTATTATTTACTATAGTTGAACAACCCGATTTTTTCCGGAAAAAAAATAACAAATATAAAATACTATGCTATATAGGTGTATCTCGGTTTAAGTGAAAGCCTCAGTTCACGGGAAAATCGGTGTCAAATAGCTTTGAAAAATAATTTTACCGAGATTGCCCATCTTCATCCACCTTTATTTTTCTATATCTATGAGAACAATATTTGAAATTTTCGTAAAAATCGGTCAAGTAGTTTTTAAGTGCCTATATAAGCTACAAATATACATGCATGAATTGTGTTATATAATATTATAAATTATAATATAGATTTTATTATAAAGGTCTATTTATTTCTGTAACCAGTGGCAAACCCGTATACTATAGAAGCTCCGTGCAAAGATAAATTCATTTTTATTTATTATATTTAAATAATATACTGTATACTGTATAGGAGGTACCTATTCGCTCAACTACAACGAAAAGTCGCAAAACACCATTTGTGTTAATATTATTGCAATTGTGTCTCCAGTATAACCTAAATTATCGATTGTATTATGACGTGCCGATAGTCTGTCTGTAGAAATCAATTGCGACCAACTCTAAACTCAGTTAAGTTCAGCAATCACGTCGGGGTGGCTCACCTTTATGCTGGAAACTAATGACTGTTGTAAGTTGATTGGGTTGATTTTATACACGTCGATGATGACCACCGAGTTGTCGATAACCACGTCCAACCGTCTCTTGTACACCCACAGGATCGCTTTGGTGATCCGATAATGCTGAGTTTGCTCGGAAAACGCAAAGTAGAGTGGATACTGATCCTGTAGAATCTGCACCGTGGGATCTGCGTCGGTATTTATGATCATTATTATTTTCATTCAGCATTACACCATATTAATCTTGCGTTTATTCCCATTATTATTTATTATTAAGAGTGTAATTTTATTGTTGCTGTTAATATTATTATAATTATCAATTATGACTACCCAACAGCATACTTCAGGGGACGAGATTATCATCAATCCCGGACCCTGTGCCAAATTCCCTCTCGCGTCACCACATCAAGTGCACTGAAAGTTTATATTATACAACGACTGCGGGCCTAAAATATTTCTTCAAAATTTGACTCACTATTTTTGTCATTTTTTTTTGATCCCACTAAAGTACAAAAAACTACTTATGTTGAGTTGTATGGTACACATGCAAAATAATATTGATTATTCAGAAATTATTTTAACAGTGGCATTTATATAACCTGTTTATAAAATAACCATAGATAGGTGCAAAACTATGTTTTTTATAGAAAATATTAAGTTTAGTAGTTCATTACTATTCAACAATATAATATTTAGAATATGTAAATATATGCATAAGTAAAATTTTCATACTTTTGGATTTTAACTTTTAAGACAAGTGTAACATATTGTTGGTGTTATATAGTATGTTGTATGTGTTATTTTTTTATTTTGTGTTCAAATACACATTTTACAGTAGGTAACTAGATGATAGTTTGTGGGATAAAAGAAAAAAGTGGGCAAGTGGATGTCGCTCTGCTGTACAGTAGGTGACAAGTGGGTCACTGTAATAGATTGTGTTCAATTTGAATTAAATTATATATTGATATAATACCATTGCATACAAAAAACGATTCTGAGCGAAGAAGGTCAGTCAGCTTATTATGATACTACTAAGTATATTTGATGATATTATTGTGAATAAAGTAACTTATATATAACCTATTTACGTGGAACCTTGTTTTACATTTTCATCCTTAGCTATAAGAGTTGAACATTTTATACATTTTTAACTACAGAATAATTATTAAATTTTAAATTTGATAAATGTTCTCAAAATTCGAACTTTTAATGCTTATAAAAAAAAATTGTGCCTATGTATTTTAATATTTTTCAACTGCTATTGTAACAATATAGTAGGAGCCTTGTATTCAATTTTTAAGCATTTTTAGCCTACAGATAAAGTTTAATCGACATTCATTGAAAAAATAAAATATTGATAAAATTGGAAACTGAAAATGTTCCTAAACAATTCAAAACCAAACAAAATATTTTGAAAATTTTATCGAGTAAAGAAAAACCAAAAATAAACAACCAGTGAAAAATGCATGTATGTTAATTTGTTTTAGATTTACACCAAAAACCAAAATCGATTTCGTGGAAAACCGATTTTGAGAAAGGTTCCCGTTTTCCCTTAATTTTTATGTTGTTTTTCCCGTCGAATTTTGAAAACTATTGGGAATTTTTAAATTTGACCTCCCGAATGCACCAAACTAGATTCACTTTAACATCGAACAAGATACTGTTGAAGAAAATCGAAGCAGTTCTACTTCCCCAAACCGTGATAACATACACAAAAAAAAAAAACACACATCATTGTAAAACCACTATAGCTTGCTCGCTCCGCTCAGAATCTAAAAAATATATTTTTTATGAGCTATTTAAGCTAAAATGACTGGCTATATTATTCAAACGCTTATTCAAATTTTCTGCTATCGATTATTATAATTTTGTATTATACAAAAAATATTAATCTTAGAAACATTCCACAGTTACATAAACTGCTGTCTTCTATTTGCAATGAAATTATCAAAATATTCAGACTACTATAGATATTTATAACTATTATTATCGACTTCGCAGAATCTTAAATTTATAAAAAAAAAATTTTAGTAACCAACCATAAGTTATAGCTGGATAATAAAAACACTTGTTTATTAAAATAAATAAATATAGCACACAATTAAAAATTAAAATCTTAATGTTCACTGCTTAGTTTATTTACGTATAACATTATTAATATTATTATGATGCATATTTTATTTAAAACTCAAAATTATTATATATATGAGTAGCTCATCTAATCATCTTCCTCAGTACCTACGGTACCGCAAATATTAAAAAATTTTATATTTTATTAAATTCGGTAGAGTCGACTGGTGGTAGCTCGTACAAAGCCTTTATGCGCGGTGGCATCAATAGCTGGCGGAGTCATCGATACAAAACCGGAGGAATATAAGTGCAGTCCTGCGATCCTGGACCTAGCGGTTTATGACCTAATATTAGAGGTTACCAAATAATTATTTAGGAACACCGGCTGACCAGCATATCAACACAAACGAAAAATAATTTTAAGTATTGCAGTGAAATAATGAAATTTATAATTTGGGGAGAGAGGCTTAAAAGAACCTTAAAAGAGTTCAGAATGACTGGTAAAGACTAAAGATCGTTCAAAGTCGGGCATAATTCTAGTTTAGCAACATATCGATTTAAAAATTTTTTTTTTCCAAAATGTGTGTTTTAGGGTGCTTTATAAGAATGTAAAAAAAAGCCCGGACAAACTTAGTTTTGAAGTTATTGATCAAATACTTCAAAAACTTCATTTTTTCGTTACGCGCATTTTTTTTTTTTTTTAAATACTTAGAATAGAATTTTTTTAGAATTTTTTTTTTTAAGTGTAGTTTTTAAAGCTTAATATAGTGGTAAAATCAAAACATACCTAACATACTTACTTTTGAAGTTTTTGCACGTCAACATTGAAAAATACCAATTTCAATATACCTGTAACTCTAAAACTAAGCCAGATAGCACAAGTCTGACTACAATAAAAACTTTTCCATCTAAAACTGTATATATTTATAAAAAAAATATATTAAAATCTGATTTTCAGCTAATTTTAGAAAGGATTTATTATGAATTTTGAAATTGGTATTTTTCAATGTTTACGTGCAAAAACATCAAAAGTAAGTATGTCAGGTAAGTTTTGATTTTACCAATCTATTAAGCGTTAAAAACCACACACTTTGAAAAAAAAAATCTAAAAATATTCAATTCTAAGTATTTTTAAAAAAAATGCGCGTAACGAATAAATTAAGTTTTTGATCAATAACTTCAAAACTAAGTTTGTCCGGGCTTTTTTTTTTACATTCTTATAAAGCATCCTTTTTTTTTTTTTTTTTTTATTGAACAAACATAATATATTTACAATCTGTATTTACATGTGATACAATAAGTAAATGTGATGATTTTTGGTTAACAGGAGGGGGAAGTCACCCAGTGGCGGCACCCCGTGGAAGCGATATAATAAAGCATCCTATAACACACATTTTGGAAAAAAAAATAAAATTTTAAAAATCGATAGGTTGCTAAACTAGAATCGTTCCCAAAGTTGTACTCACGTGTCTGAGCGAATGCTATGAGCTTTTGCGTCTTGACGTGATAATCGTAATCGTCGTTGTCGCTGCTAATAGTGTTGTCCGTGGACGTTTTGACTGTTTTGGTGCCCTGAATTTCGGTACCAAAATCCCCGGTCGCGTCCATGAGGTTGGACTTGTGCTGATTTTTCGAGGGCACCACCTTGGAACTTGCGCGGTCGTTGTTGTACTTGCTCGCGAGAACTTGCAGCGGCAGCCGATCGCCAAACTCCGGTGGCCGCTGCATGCCCAGCTTGTTCAGTATCGACGATTTGATCAGCTCGATGTTCAGCGACTTCATTCCACCATCGGCGCCGTTGTCAACGCCCTGCTGACTGTCGGCGGCGGTGATCGCCGAAAGCACCGTTTCCACGGTGACCATCAACAGAACGGCTGTGACAGCGATGACCACCACATTTGGCATTTTCCAACACATCAAAGGTCCTGTGATTATCGATCAGAGGTCAGAGGATTATTGTTCCATCCACTGTTTTCGTCGGAATGCAGTCGTTCGTTCTACAACACAAGACATATTATGTGTAAACCATGCTTAACTGTAAGCCAAACTCACTCCAGGGGTACCCAGCGTTCTTATATATAATGGTGACCCCTTTTGGTGGCCGTTCCCCGACCCCCACCGACCATGTAGTTTTCAGACCATTGTATCTTAGTCCGTGTTACGAACATTACCGTGTTTGGCAAAAATCAGCGTGTTTCAAAAAATTTTTTTGTTTTTTTTGTTATTAAAGTATTTTTATTCAATCTGTTTCAATACATGAACAATAAGAACAATTGATGAAAGTAAAAATAAAAAAAATAAAAATAAATTACATTTCCGAATGTAGAGGCTTCCCAGCGGAGGTTTAGGTTTCAAAAAATGGCAATATTTTTTATTCCTTATTTGTTATCATGCAGGCGTATATTAAGGTTGATTGTTTATTATTATTTTTCTAGTCAAAAGTAGAAATAACTTTTTTAATTACGGTGAAAACCTAATGCCTGAATGATTGTGTACTTAAATTTATTCAATCAAGTGAATTTTACGAACCACTGTCTGAATAGTAACAATTACTTATCTATAACTTAAGAAGTATTGGTCCAAAATGTTTTTTTTTCTTTACTTCAGTTTCATTGACCATATCCTTATAGGGTAGCAGATCCATTTAAATAATTTATGAAATAGTGTTATTGAACAAATACTTAGAAAACGGATACAAGACCACAAATAAATAAGACATGTCAAGTGATTGACTCGCATATAGGACAAGGAAAACACAACAATATAAGAAGTTGTTTTCAACAAGGATTTTTCAACAGTATGACGAGTAAAAAACGCACCTATACCAAGTTATAATAATGGCCTAGAAACGGTGCTATGGTTCCCATACCAAGGTAATTCAACCAATCAGCACGGGTTTCAGCAAGGTTCATCAGCAAACAGCAGGTTATTTAGAGTTTAGATTTTTGAGATCAGCAGTGAAAGGGTTAAGCACTCAAAGATTTCGAATTCGCACTCCTAGTTCCTTCGAGTAATTTACTTCACAAATCGCTTACAAACTATTGTGGTATGGGTTTTAATTTTTCAATGGAAACGTAACGCCACACGTGTGCAGCATATGTACAATGTACCTATGTTTATAATGATTATTTTATTTGGATGTACACAAACTGTAAATCGTTTTTATAGAGACAATTTATCGGTCGTAAAAAAATGTAGTCATAAAAAAAACTATATTGAAACGTTATATCAATTTTTCATTGTGTGTGGACCGTTGAATACCATTAGTCGTGAAACTCGAAGGCAGATGTATGACATTCGAATTCGTTATTTTATATGGTGATGACTCTCGCTTAGGACGCACGTTTATAATAGTATTATTATATATTATGCTTCTAGAGTACCTATATGAGCGTGAGAATATAATTTATGAACCATCATAACGACACCAAATGAAAGCATAATATAGTAATATATCCTGTGTGATGTGTTTTGGTATCATTAAGATAAAATTGTAGATTTATAACTCTACACGCGTGAGTATAATATAACCTATATAGTGATTTAATTTCAACGATTATTGTTGAAAACGTGTATTGGTATTGTAAACTATGAATTCTAAGTCAACATTACCATAATGCCTATTATTATTACGTCGGAAAAAAAGATCCGAGAATCAATCATTCACGAGTCACGACTCACGAGTATATATTAAATATATTACATTATGAATTTATGACATAAGTAACATATTTTGATTATATTGAATTATATAAGTTATACTTGCGAGCGACGGTGACCGATACTAAGTATAGGTAGGTACATTTTTTATTTGCAAGACAAAAAAATTTACTGACAAGCACCATATGACAACCAATCTCACGCCCACGCAACAAACACTCCCGTTTACCAAATAAAAACAGATTTTTCAAAGTTACACTCCTATATAGTGAATTTAGGCACTATATAAGAAGTTCAGTACTCCAGTACCTATATTATATATGCCAACCGGGAATCCAGCCAAATTTTAAATAAGTTATCAATTATTGTCATTTTCAAGACGCCACTGAGCAAGAAGTAAGAACTACTGTAGGTGCAATATAATTTAACAAAAAATACATTAATATATATAGTTGTAGACAGGATTATGCATAGATAAATAGTCAATAAAGCATGCATCAATAAATATCAAAGTACAAACTTATATACAATATACATTCATAATTATAACATATTCATATCTGCAAAGTATGGTAAGATAAGTAGGTTTAAGTAGATTTATAGGTATATTTCGTGACCTTATACAGTTATACGTAAATGAAACTTGGAATACTAGTATAATTATGTATGATAAGGTTTCTTAGGTTTTTTGGTCGTATCAAAAGTAATAGCACATTATCTCTCTTTTATTTTTGAAGTTATACTTCTTTACGCAGGGTAGTGAGGAAAAAAAAGCGAACGGGCGGCCGTACGAACGCGAAAGCGTACATGTCCGTAAATAAATAAATATTGTCATGGTAATGTTGTTTTATTATATACTAGCTGATCCCGTGCACTTCGTCGCCCGTTAAATTGATCAACTCAATACTACCTACTCAAACTTTGTTCAATTCATTAACGTGTATGGTGTTCAAAATTTATCTTATCTTTCCCGTTGCCCTGAATAAAAATTCTGAATCGCAGCAGTACATTATCAGGTAGGCAATCTACCTGCGGTAGATCGCGGACCCCGTGCTGTTTGTACGGAAGTGTATGATTTAACTCTAAAGTATCAAAGTTATACCAAGTTTATTTTGATGTAATACTGTGGATTAATATAATAAATTTGGTTGCTCGTAAAAAATCGCAACTCTTAAAAAAATTATGATTGTTGAACTCCTTTTGGGTGTAATTTTCTGCGGTAAGTGCAACTCTGCCACCCTGGTAAGCATTGTTCAATAATTCGATTTGATGCAAGCTTGTACCTGATCTGCCCGAATAACCAATGGCAACCAATAAATAAATGCTAATTTCTAATGTAGACTGTAACCAATGGCAACTATAAATAAATAAAAATAAAATTTCCAATTTCTATCGTGAATCTCAATGTCCCTGTTTCAGCACCTATTTAAAATGCGAATTTTGGCAAATCCTTTCTTAGCGCACGTCTATATTATAATAGCTATCTGTATGCCAAATTTCAGCCAGATCCGTCCAATGGTTTGAGCTGTGCGTTGATAGCAGTCAATCAGCTTACTGTTTTTTATATACAGATATGGTTGCCATGGTAATATGGACACACACACACACACACACACTGACATACATTCATTTTTATATATTATATAGATTGATATGAAATCTTGGTAACCTTAGTAACCTTAGTAACCATGGCAACCTTGGTAACCATGGTAACATGGACACACAGACACACAGACACACTGACACACTGACATACATTCATTTTTATATATATAGATTAAATATATATATATATATATTATATATTATAATCGGGCCATACTAATTAATATGAATAATTAATGATCGATTATTATTTATTTTTATTATTATTATTATTATTCACTCACAAATCTATTGTCTGGATAAAAAACAATACTACAAACAATTATCCATCGATCTGTCGAATAAAAATATAAAAAAAATAATAAAACTATCAATAATGAATAATTCCGGATACTTCTTCTCATTTTTTAAGTTAATTAATATTTTTTTCTTTCTTTTTCACTCACTCACGTGTACCATTCAAAAGAAGTTTAACTTCCCGCGCGTACTGGTAACACACATGGTTTTTACTTACTGGCTACCGTATTAATAATAAGTATAATAACGATATAAATATAATATATAATTTCCACATTGACAAACCGTCACAAAATCGTTTCTCGCATACAATGATATTATATCATTGAATTCAAATTTAATACCATCCATCACACAGTGACCCACGTGTAACCTACTGAACAGCAGAGCGACATCCACTTTTTTAGCTTTTATACTGTACCTATCTATATTATTATTCCATCAATGTTATATTATTATATAAAATGTAAATTAGACAAATATTATTAATTTATAATTCTTTATATTACCTACATACATTTTTTTCATGACGCAATTGATTAACCTGATTTTAGTTTATCGTACAGTGTAGTTGTATAGTTTTGCACACATGCGATGCGTAAAAGTCATGAGTTTATGACTTTCTTTTACCTGTTATCTCACTGCAATCCCAACAGAATCTACAATATTTACGTAATATTGATTTGTCTGTTATGACTTATGAACGTTATGATATGATAATATATTGTATTATATGACGTGTTACTGTGCTAGTAATTAAAAATTAAAAATATCAGTGCTGTGTCATGCATTTTTATGCTTTTTAGACCAACATATAAAAACGCATAACAAATCTCCGTAATTATTGATTCAATATTCGATTCAAACTATTTATCTTGATTAAACTTAAATATGATGTACACATTATTGCCTATTGATAATGTTGTCTAGAACATAATAATATTGTCTTATTTTAGATTTTGAGCAGAGCTAAGAATGTATTGATTTTATAATTATGTGTTTTTGTGTCTGGAGACACTTTACAACCTAACAAGTAGAAATAACGATCTGATCATCAATTTCGATTTAAGTTTCTTGTAGAGAATTGGACCTACTAGGTACTTTTTGGTATTCAATCTGAAAATTATCAGTACTTACTAAGATATCCAGAAAATATTTTTAAAAAAATACGAAAATTTGTTGATATTATTATTAAAATAATTATTTAGTTACATTGGTACCTAACCAAAAAGTTACACTGTCTTCATTCAGAAGCGTTTTTTCATAATATACAATATAACTTATCATTTAAATCATATTTAACACATCCATATACATAGAGTCTTTGTCAAAAAACTTTAAAA